TTAATCATACTATATAAGGCTAATTGATTTCCCAAGTGCTTGTACCAAGAATGGGAAAAAGCTCATGTTGCTCAGGTGTTCTGAAAACATTCAGTTGAAGGTGGAGATTAAATGTTAAAAACCACTGTCTTGGCTACAGAATCACCTTAGGCATTTTTTCATATTCCATTAATAGCTTCCTTTTCTTTACTTTTATTCCATAATTTATGGCATTATACTTTTAGCCTAAGATTAAACTAATGCTTCCTTTTAGCCTAACCACATAGCATTTGTGAAAAAAATGGAGGGAGGGAGAAAGCTCTGAGGGAGAAAAGGAGGAAAGAAGGAAGGAAGGACAGAGAAAGGTGAAATAAAAAGTTTCAATAAAGAATAGTGGGAAAGGACTGGAAACGGCAAGTATGGCTAACATTATTAAAATGCAACAAATTAAAAGAGATGTGGACAATATTCATAGAATAATAGAAACTTCAGAAAGCCTTAATAGTTATTAACTACTGTGTCACAAACTACCTAAAAATTTAGTGGCTTAATACAAAAAATACCTGTTAACTCAAAGAGATACTACAAACACAAGCAAAATCAGTTCTATGAGGGTGGCAGAAGTTGGATAAAGAGAAGGATTTTACAAGTTGGAATAAGTAAGAGTTATTGACGTGCAGATGGAAATGATTTTTAGTCCAAGTCCTCCAAGGAGTAGATGCCAAGATGAGCTTCAAGTCTGTGGCATTTTATGAGGGAACACACCTGTAAGGGTATATGGGAAGTGAGCCAGAAATCCCTCAAAAAGGCAGCAGACTAAGATGCAAGTGTGACCCCAAGTGCTGGACAGAAGGAGAGAAGGTTTGTTCAACGCATCCTAGAGCATGGACAATCTAAGGAGGGTTGAGCAAGGCCATGGAGGAGTCCTCCAGCCACAGTTGGCCATCAGAGGAGTCCCGTGTCTCCCAGAAATGGCCTGCCTTAGTGCGCCTGCTGTGCCTTAGTGGTCACTGGCTGGGAACAGCCTATGGGGGAAGCAGGGCTTCTGCACCAGTGCTACTGAGGGCGTCAGAACACAGCAGCATAGCCTTAGGAGATTACCCAGGAGTGTGACTCAACCTTCCTTCCTGAGGGTCTGGGCTCTTGAATAGGAAACCCTCTCAGGCTGGGTTGCTGGATGTTTCTGCTCACACTTAACAATGGGACAAGGGGAACCAGGAGGTCCCCACATGGACCTCTGGTTTCCACACACTTCTGCTGCCCTCATTGTGTGATAGCAGCCCTGCCTCCTCCTCTTCTTACCTGCTTGTCTCTGGGAACATTCTATTCAGACTTCCCTGGGGCAACCAAAATGTGTAGTTCCATGGACTCCCATTTGTCTCCTTGCCAGGGTGCCCCCTTTGGGAAACCAGGACCTCCTACCCTGCAGGGTCCAGATTTTGGAGATGAGAAGCGCAAAGTGGTGCACCCTGGTGGTGAATATAAGGGATGAGACATGGAGCCACACCTGCTTCAACTTTTTGGTTTTTGGACCCATGTATTCTTACTTCTGAACACACAGAACCATAGAGACATGTTGGATTCAATGCATGCACCGCATCCTGAAAGATGGCACCCATTCCTCAGAGGGTTTCATCTAAGCTGGTACTGAGTTGTACCTGTAGAGACCTGTCCATGACTCTGTGTGGCTGGCAGCCCCTGGGAGGTGCAGGTGTTGATGGGAGGCACAGGTGTTGATATGAGCAGGGGCTCCCATGGTCATGGCCCACGCTTCATCCCCTTCCCTCTGAGGTGTGTCCCGTGGGCAGATAATGTACTGAAATTCTGAGCCAGTGGATCAGGAATGCAGATAGTGATGCTGGCTGAGGGTGTGAACGCAGAGAGGAAAATCACACCACATCGAATAGGTGCCTATCCCTGTGAGGATGAACCCCTGGCCGTTCCAGGATGGATGGGGCTCAAGTTGTTCAACTTGTCACTTAGGGTCTAGTCAGTTACCTGAAGAAACAGTGCCCTATGGGGCCCATCATTGATCTGTAATGCTCATAAGCAGAGTATTCAGAGGAAGCAGCAGCTGGACGGTCCTTGGTAAGGGGGAGTCAGTGCTGCTGGACCCACTTGTAGCCTCATTCCTGCCACTGTGTTTATCCACTTATCAATCCTTCCTGTCATACCTGGGCTGATCTGTGATGCCGGCTGGCTAACTTCAATTTATCTTCAATTTGTTTGGTTATTCAGGGCCACATCAGGGCTGGGTGTTTTCTGTGGATGTTAACATGGAATTAAGGCTCAACCCACATGGACCATTTTCATCTCATGATGGATCCTGCTGGCCCTGTCCCATCTATGCCTCTGTGGGTCACATAGAAGCCAATACACAAGGGCACTTGGAATCACAAGGTTGCTTGGTGTCCCATGATCAAGCATTCTATCTTATCAGGGCCAGGAACATGCTAAAAGTTGCTTCTAACAGGGAGCATGTTTCTCTGCTGTGGATTCCATGGCCTTATTCCAGATCACAGGCCCTCCATTCTGACTCTCCCACTGATGCTTGGTTCAGCTCCATCCTGCATCTTTCCCCACACCGCCACCTCCAGGACCAGGGGTCTGAGGGATGGTGACTGACTGCACCACAGCCTGGGTCTGCGGCAGTGCCCTTTCCTGTCCAGGCCCCACTCAAAACTGGCCTCCTCCTATATCACCCAGAGTGTGGGCCAAAGCAATATACTTAGATGTGGAATGTGGTGTTGACAGAACCCAGAGAGGCTGGGTAGTGTGCGTCCTTCCTTCGGGTGAGGATACAAGATGCAAGTCTGACTTTTACTTTGGAGGGGAGAGCCCTGCATGCCCCTAACCACTGGACTCATGAAACTTCACTGCAGTGTCCACTCTTGAAGCTCTGTAAGGTTAATCTTCACCTTCCATAGTGCACATGTTTTGCCAAGGAATTCAGCGTACTTTCCTCTTCTTGCTCTTCCATCCTGATCTATGTGATATTGCCAATGAAATGAGCAGATTTAGTATTCTGTGAGATGTCTGATTTGTCCAGGTCTATTAAGGTGATATTTACAGAAGGTTGAGGAGTTAAGGTAGCCCTGAGGCAAACTATCAATAAAGGTATTATAAATTCCATGTGAATGTGAATCATTCCATAACCATTTTCTAAATGGAATGGGAAGGAATACACTCACCAGATCCACAGCTGCTTGCCATGTGCCTGAGGCCTTATTAATCTCCCCAAGCAGCGATATCCAGCCAGCATGGCAACTGCAATCAGGACTCCTACTTGGTCAAGTCTGGAGAAATTCCATTCATGCTTTATCAGGCTTCTTCAGGGACAGATTGCTGAATTATATGGAGATAATAGGCAATCCCAACCCCCCCCATCCTTCAGCTCTCTAACGGCAGTGCTACCCCTACAATACCTGCTGTACTCACCACAAGTCCCACCCTGGCACAGTATTGCTTCTGGCTTGGCTAGGATGAGGGAAGTTTTAGAGGATTCCCTTTGGGCTTCAGCACAATGACAGCCCTTACTCTCCAGACTAGGGATGCAGTGTGGGGGTGACCAAAGTTGCCAGTGCATCAAGGCCAATTATGCATGTGGGGACTGGGGAGAAAACCAGGACTGGGTTTATGGACCCAGGGGTCCCACTGTGGGCCATAGTGTGTCCAGGTTTATTTCCTGGCCTCCTTAAGCCCCACTGTGGATTCTGAATCTAAAGCTTGACTGAAGTCTAGGAATTGAGACTGGGATCATGACTTTGTATTTGGTCAAACACCCTCGGCCTCCTACTCCTCAATTCTTGCATTCTCATCATAGATATGAAGCAGTGCCCTCGCTGGCTGCCCATCTGTTCTGACCCTGGGACACCACCTTTTATTAACCTTCCCCACAATTCCTTGAGGGCTGAGCCCCCTTGGCTGCTACTCTGGGTTCTCACAGTAACCGTGTCCTCTATCTTTTGCAGGTCACTGCAAAGGAGGGTTCCTAAAGCATTCACTCCTGATCCTGAGGGAGGCGGGTGCACCCACTCCAGGTCTCAGGTCCGCCACAGAGAATCAAAAACTCCTCACGTTCAAAACTGTCCTGGGCCACATTTAGCCCACGAACCGCGGGTTGGACAAGCTTGTATCTAGAATGTATGCACCACAACGCCAGAAATTTTTCTGTTTTGACTTTAGTGATGCTTTCTAAATGCAAAAGCAGTCATATCCCTGGCAGACAACAAATGTCAGCTGAATGAATGATCACTGTAGAGCATATCTCTATTCTAAAGCCAATATTTTTACTAACGTAGTCTCAGGGTAAATGCTGTTTTGTGGCAGCTAAAGAACAACATCATTTCACGTGGACATCGATGCCGCCAGTGCTTTTCTCACCAGGGCTGCTTGTGCGTCCTCCCTTCCTCCCTCCCTCCTCCCACACCAATCCTCCTGCACACTGCAGCACACAACCATATTTTTCTCTTCAGGAACAATAACCCTAGCCTTACGGGTACAATTTTCCAACCACATATGAATCTAAATTAGACTCTGCTTTATACATCCATGAGTTTGGATTGGAGCCAGCGCTAGGATTACTACAACTCAGGGCAGGAAGATGAGTAGGACAGTAGAAGAGGAGCTCCAACAGAAAGTTACCTATGATGGAAACTAGGGGACCCATCCTCTCTGCAAATTTCAGAATCTGGTTCCTTTAAAATGATTGGCGACAAGATGGAAAGTACAATCCAGGAAAGAGCCCCGGGAGGAGGGCAAGATCTGGACAGGTCTGAAAATTTATCCTTGATACCACAAGGAGATTTGTATGCAGAGACCACCCTAGGTGACATCCAACTCCCTGTGATCACAGGTCTTGGTGGGACAAGGTTCTACTGAAAGGCCAAGGACAATGAAGGAGCAAAGATGTCCCAGCCAAGCAGTGACCACATAAAGCCCGTGGTGGCCGGAACACAAACTGGGCACAGCCCCATCTACTCTCCTCCCCTGCCACAAATCAGCACAAGAAACACGGGGACTCTGGAAGGTTCTCATGTCTTCCATTTATTTTGTCTCTCAAATTTCAGGAATCTTCTCCTTTAATTAACTCATTAACCTCTCATGGCAAGAATTTGAAAAAGTAAATTTATACTCAGATTCTAATTGTAATAGGGAAGGAAGAAGATACAGCTCAGTGCACCATGAAGTTGAGACAGAGATAGAGACATCCCAGCCCCACCTCTCTGGAACAGGAAAGATAAATGAGGAGGGAACACAGGTCAGCGTGGGGAAGAGGGTCATGGTGGACACGGGGATGGGGTGTTCTCCGCACCTCCTCACATTATGCCTACAGGAACATAGACACATTCAGGTGCCTTTGCAGAAAGAAAGTCAGGGTTCTTCAACTCACAAAGAGAAGGCGTGAACAAATCTTGCCTCTCAGTCCCACACAAGGCAGCTGTCTCACACTATAGAAAAATATTCATGAAAAAATTCACATCCGTCACAGTGAGGAGTGACACTTTAAACAGCCCATCACATGCTCAATACATCCAAGTCAAAGAAACCCCACAGCACAGCTGCGTCCACTGTTCCCTCCAACACCCCCCACACATCAGGCCCCCCAGGATCTCACCTTTACAAGCTGTGAGAGACACATCAGAGCCCTGGGCACTGTCACTGCCTGGAATAGAACAAAAACAGGACCTGGTCAGATCCCTCTGGAGATGCGGCTAGAGGAAGAACTGTGGGCTGGGTGAGCTCCCCCATGGGCTCCCAACCACAATATCTCAAAGATCTCAGGGATCAGCCTCCTTCATACTTACTTGCAGCCTGAGAGTAGCTCCCTCCTTTTCTATCTGTGGTAAGAAAATGTCCTGTTAGATATAAAAAAGGAACTAGGGCCATAAGGTCCTAGAGGAATGTCCTAGTCTTGGACCCCAGAGAAGTTTCCAGAAATGTGTGACTGCAGACCCAGGGCGGGATCAGGAAATATGAAGAAAGCAGGTGTGGGTCCTGGACCAACTGCCCTTCTGAGGTCTGTGCTCAGCAGGGACCTTCCCTTGTGACTTGTGACTGCTGGGATCAGGTCCCATCACCACCGTAATTGAGGTGATCTATCTGTCCTTCATTTTAACAGGTGCTTTACAAAAGAATAGGTGCTGGCACACAGGGCCCAGGCTGGGTCGGCCCATGAGTGTGGATGGTGCTTCCCAGTAACCAGGCAGGGCACACTTCTGCCTGGGGCTTGAAACCCTCAGTGAGACAAGAAATCTCAGACCCCACTCCTCACCCCTTCCTCACCTGAGCTCTTCCTCCTCCACATCACAACAGCAACCACAGCTCCAGTGACCACAGCTCCAAGCAGAACCAGGCCAGCAATGATGCCCACGATGGGGATGGTGGACTGGGAAGACGGCTCTGGGAAAAGAGGGGAAGGTGAGGGGTCCTGACTCTGCTAAAGGTCTCCAGAGAGGCTCCGGCTTTCCCTAAGAGACATGACACCCCCATCTCCCTCTTTACCCCATCTCAAGGTGAGGGGCTCGGGCAGACCCTCATGCTGCACATGACAGGTGTATCTATGCTCTTTTCCAGAAGGCACAACCACAGCCGCCCACTTCTGGAAGGTTCCATCTCCTGCAGGCCTGGTCTCCACAAGCTCCGTGTCCTGAGTTTGGTCCTCCCCGTCCCGCTGCCAGGTCAGTGTGATCTCCGCAGGGTAGAAGCCCAGGGCCCAGCACCTCAGGGTGGCCTCATAGTCAGAGACGGGGTGGTGGGTCACATGTGTCTTGGGGGGGTCTGATGGGAAGAGTCAGAAAATTCAGGCATTTTGCATCTGTCATGGGACACTCCACCAGCACACATGTGGCCATCTTGAGAATGGACAGGACACCTGGGGTGGGGAAGGGAGCCCAAAACCCAGACACTATCCTGGACACAGGCACCTGGGAGAATCTCCTATTCCGTGGAAAATTCTATTCCCTGAGGAGGGAACAGTGATTTCTGCTCCTGACCTGAGTGGAGGCTGAGGGACTCAGAGGAGCTGGACTCAGACCCCCACACACATTGAGTGTGAAGCAGAGAACAGGGCCTGAGAGGAAAAGTCACGGGGCCCAAGGCTGCTGCCGGTGGCAAAGGGAACCCCTGATCAGTATTCGAGGGATTGTCTTCCAGTCATTCCCTCAGAGATTTTATCCTTAATTGTGTCAGAGAGCAGGGTGGACCCTCAGAGTCACTCTCTGGTACAGGATCTGGAAACCCAGGAGGATTCCTCTCCCTCAAGACCACAGGGAGGGCGATATTCTAGTGTTGGTCCCATTTGTCTCCCCTCCTTGTGGGAGACCAGCCTGGGAGATCTAGAGGCGATCAGGGAGGCGCCCCGTGGCCCCTGGTACCCGCGCGCTGCAGCGTCTCCTTCCCGTTCTCCAGGTATCTGCGGAGCCACTCCAGGCACTCGCCCTCCAGGTAGGTTCTGTGCTGCTCCGCCACACCCGCCGCCTCCCACTTCCGCTGGGTGTTCTGAGCCGCCAAGTCCGCGGCTGTCCAGGAACGCAGGTCGTCGTTCAGGGCGATGTAATCCTTGCCGTCGTAGGCGAACTGTTCATACCCGCGGAGGAGGCGCCCGTCGGGCCCCAGGTCGCAGCCGTACATCACCTGGTAGGTGTGAGACCCTGGCCCCGCCCCCGCGGTCAGCCCCGCCCACCGAGCCCCGCCCCGCCCCGACCAACCCGCGGGGATTTTGGCCTCAACTGAAAATGAAACCGGGTAAAGGCGCCTGGGGCTCTCCCGGGGCAAGGGTCTCGGGGTCCCGCGGCTTCGGGGTGGATCTGGGACCCGGAGACTCGGGGCCACCCGGGCCGTCCGTGGGGGATGGGGAGGGGTCGTGACCTGCGTCCCGGGCCGGGGTCACTCACCGGCCTCGCTCTGGTTGTAGTAGCCGCGCAGGTTCCGCAGGGCCACTGGGGCATTCTGTGTCTCGGTCTTCATGATCCGTGTCTCCCGGTCCCAATACTCCGGCCCCTCCTGCTCCACCCACGGCGCCCGCGGCTCCATCCTCTGGCTCGCGGCGTCGCTGTCGAACCGCACGAACTGCGTGTCGTCCACGTAGCCCACGGCGACGAAGCGGGGCTCCCCGCGGCCGGGCCGGGACATGTAGGTGTAGAAATAGCTCATGGAGTGCGAGCCTGGGGGCGAGGAGAGGCTGAGACCAGCCCGACCCTCCTCCCCGCGCGGCTCCCCGGGTCCTGCGCCCCCGCCGGGCGGGCCCCTCCCTCCTCCCCCCTCCCCGCAGAGGCCGTTTCCCTTCCGACCCCGCACTCACCCGCCCGGGTCTGGGTCAGGGCCAGGACCCCTGAGAGCACCAGGAGGAGGGTTCGGGGCGCCATGACCGCCATCCTCGGCGTCTGGGGAGAATCTGAGTCCTGGTGGGTGAGTGGGGACTTTAGGACCAGGACTGCGGCGACGCTGATTGGCGTCTCTAGAAACCTGACACCCAATGGGAGTGAGAACTGGGTCCGCGTAGTGAGTATCCAGGAAGAAGGACTCGACGCAGGTTGTGAGAAGAAGAGAAACTGGGGAGATGGGGAATCCCCAACGCTGGGCCTCCCCAATCCATACACCGCCTTCGGGGCCTGAGACCCTGAGAGCCACACCTGGGGCCCTGGGACTTCGCCCTGACCCAGCTCCTCCTGTACCAAGCGCTCTGTCTCAATGTCTCCCTGAGTCTTGGCCCAGGAGCTGTCTGAGAAACCAGGGAGACACCCTCGGCATGGGCCCCGTCCCTCTCCCTTCACTTTTCATTCCGGAATCTCCCTCCCTGAACTGGACTCCCTGCCTCCCACTCCTTACCTGTCCCCCTGGAGTCTTCTAGAAGAAAACGCACCCCACGGAGCTTGGTGCCAGAGAGTGAGCTTGGTCTGGGAATGAAGGTATAGAGATAATTTTTTTTTGTTTTTTTGTTTTTGTTTTTTTAATCTGGAGAAGTTGTGCCTGAGTGCATGAAACAGAATAGAGACAAGTTTGCTCTTTGTTTATTAAATACATTGGGTAGTAGAATCTTGGTAACCCCCGAATGATCAAGAATCCAATTGGTAAAAAATGTGACTTTGGCCCCTTGATATATAAATGTGTCCAAAAGCGTTACAACAGGACTCACAAAGCTCCTAAATTTCACTTTCGCAAACAATGTATCTGTGACTCCCACTTGCCGTATTTTAAGTTTACCATCATTCCATAGCTCTGAGTTTCTGTGTGAGTCCAGGATATTTCCTCAATACCAACTAGCACACTGTGTTACTATATGTTGCAACCAGGAAACATATAGTTTGCCTATGTGTCAGGTGAATGACCAGGAGCTGGCTGTTGGAGCCGTCATAGAATCAGCCTAGCAAGGGTGGGATCTTCCTTTTCTGTTTAATTGCAACACAGTTGGAAATTGAAATTCAAGTAAAGTGATCATTGTGAACGTTATTAAACTACATCCTCTTTGGACATGGAAATTCTCCTTACCTTTTAAAACTAAGTTACATGTTTAATGTCTTATAATTACTTTAGGCCAGATGTGGTGGCTCGTGCCTGCTATCCTAGCACTGTGGAAGGCATGGGAAGGCAGATTTGTTGACTCCAGAAGTTCAAGATCAGCCTGGGCAAAACCCCCATCTCTACAAAAACATTTAGAAAATTAGGCATGGCGGTTCATGCCTGTAGCCCCAGCTACTCAGGAGGCTGAGATCAGAGGGTCCCTTGACCCCAGGAGGTTGACACTGTAGTGTATGGTGATCATGCCACCACACTCCAGCCTGGGTTACAGAGTGTGACCTTGTCTCAAAAATAATAATGATGATGATGATACATTTGGAGCAAATGAAATTTAACGTGTAATAATACATCCTGTCTTGTGAAAATGTACTGTTTATTTATGACTGCATAACAAATTATATAACGCTTAGCTCAAAACAATAAATATTCATCATCTCCCACAGTTTCCAATGGTTAGGAATCCAGGAGAGGTTTCGCTGAGTGCTTCTCGCTCAGGACCTCTCATAAGGCTGCAGTTCAGTTGTCAGTCAAGGGCTGCATCATCTGAGGACTTCACTGGGGCTGAGGATTCACAAGAAAGATGAATCAGTCACATGGCTGTTGGAAAAGGCCTAGTTCCTTGTTATCTAGTCCCAGAAGACCTCAGTTCTCAGTCACGTGGACCTTCCTGCAGGGCTGCTTATGGCACAGCAGCTGGATTCCCCCAGAGCTCATGATCCCAGAGACAGAGAGAGAGAAGGTGGAAGCTGCAGTGAGTTTTATGTTCTACACCCAATGTCACAAACTGTTATGTCAGCATTATTCTATAAGTTAGAAGTTGTATTAGTCCATTCTCACACTGCTATAAAGAAATACCTGAGATTGGGTGATTTATAAAGGAAAGAGGTTTAACTGACTCACAGTTCTGCATTGCTGAGGAGCCTGCCCCAGGAAACTTAGAGTCATGGTAGAAGTGGAAGCAAACACGTCCTTCTTCACATGGTGGCAGGAGAGAGAAATGCAGAATGAAGCAGGGAAATGCCCCTTATAGAACCATCACATCTCATGAGAATTCCCTCAGTATCATGAGAACAGCATGGGGGAACTGTCCCCATGATCCAGTCACCTCCCATGTGGTCCCTCCCCCAACAGATAGGGATTACAATTCAAATGACAATTCAAGATGAGATTTGGGTGGGAACACAGAGCCAGTCCATATCAGAAGTGCCTCATTAAGTCCAAGCCACACTCAAGCGAGGGAATTAAGCTGCACCTCTGGAAGGGAACAGTATCAAAGGATTTGAATATATGTTAAAAGCAAAATTAAAACTATTGTTTCTGGTTTTTCAAAATCAAAGGCTTCTTTTATCTAATTATTTTTCATTAACTCCATAAGCTTGTCTTTTAATTTAATTTAAAGTTCCAGGGTACATGTGCAGGATGTGCAGGTTTATTACATAGGTAAACGTGTGCCATGGTGGTTTGCTGCACCTATCAACTCATCACCTAGGCATTAACCCTGACATGCATTAGCTATATTTGCTAATGATCCCCCAACCACTGCCCTCTCCCAAGAGGCCCCAGTGTGTGTTGTTCCTCTCGCTGTGTCCATGTGTTCTCATTGCTCAGTTCCCAATTGTAAATGAGAACTTGTTGTGTTTGGTTTTCAGTTCCTGTGTTAGTATGCTGAGGATAATGGCTTTCAGCTCATCCATATCCCTGAAAAGGACTTGATCTCATTCCTTTTTATGGCCGCATGATATTCTATGGTGTATATGAACCATATTTTCTTTATCAAGCCCATCATTGATGGGCATTTGGGTAGATTCCATGTTTTTGCTATTGTGAATAGTGCTGCAGTGAAGGTAAACATGCATATAACTTTATAACAGAATGATTTCTATTCCTTTGGGTATATATCCTGTATTGGGATTGCTAGGTCAAATGGTATTTCTGGTTCTAAATCTTTGAGGAATCGCCACACTGTCTTCCACAATGGATTAACCAAGTTACTTTTCCTCCAACAGTGTAAAAGCATTCCTATTTCTCTGCAACCTCACCAGCATCTGTTGTTTCTTGACTTTTTAGTAATTGTCATTCTGACTGGCATGAGATGGTATCTCATTTGTGGTTTTGATTTGCATTTCTGTAATGATCCGTGTTGTTGATCTTTTTTTCATATTTTTGTTTGCCACATGTACACCTTCTTTTGAGAAGTGTCTGTTCAGGTCCTTTGTCCACTTTTTAATGAAGTTGTTTTTTTCATATAAATTTGCTTAAGTTCTTTGTAGATTCTGAATATTAGAACTTTGTCAGATGAGTAGATTGCACACATTTTCTCCCATCCATAGGATGTCTGTTTGCTCTGATGATAGTTTTTTTTGCTGTGCAGAAGCTCTTTTGTTTAATTCGATCCCATTTGTCAAGTTTTGCTTTTGTGGCAGATGCTTTTGGCGATCTCATCATAAAATCTTTGCCCATCCCTGTGTCCGGAATGGTGTTGTCTGGATTTTCCTCCAGGGTTTTTCTAGTTTTGGGTTTTACGTTTAAGTATTTAATCCATCTGGAGTTAACTTTTGTGTAAAATGTAAGGAGGGGTCCAGTTTCCATTTATGGCTACCCAGTTCTCCCAGCACCATTTATTAAACAGGGAATCCTTTCCCCGTTGCTTGTTTTTGTCAGGTTTGTTGAAGATCAAATGGTTGTAGATGTGCAGTCTCTTTTCTGAGTTCTCTATTCTGTCCCATTGGTTTATGTGCCTGTTTTGTAACCTTGTAGTATAGTTTTAAGTCGGATAGCCTGATGCCTGAGCTTTTTTTTTTTTTTTTTTTTTTGCTTAGAATTCTTCTGGCTCTAAAGCTCTTTTTGGATCCATATGCATTTTAAAATAGTTTTTTTCTAATTCCATGATAAGCTTCTCTTTTTAAATTCATGATTAAAAGTTTGAGACATCACAGAGCTTTCGGTGCTGAGACAGAGTAAGGAAATACAACAATATCTCTGAGTTTTTCCTGCCAATACCATTGTTATTAAATAACAATGTTCTCTTCAGTGAGTTAACACAGTTGAGAACATAGAGTAACTAGATCAAATAGTTCCAAAACCTCAGTCCCTTAAAACTAATGCCTTGCAAATAAGTCTTTGTTTTGTCCAAGATGTCTCAAATTTAGTGGAAATATGCCCCAAGCACCAATTTTCTTATTGAAATATCATCTTCACTAAACATTTGCCTACACTTAAAAACAAAAAAAAACACAACTCTGCTCTATGGAGTAGCTGTTCTTTTGTTTCTTTACTTCTCTAATAAACTTGCATTCACTTAGAAAAAAATTGCCTAATCAAATCGCTTTTCACCTACAAAAATGTGAATCTCATACTTTGGTCAGCACATCTAGCTTAACATGATGCCAATAACTTCGGTTTGATGCTGTAGCCCGAAATGGTTAGCTCGAATTGAGAAACAAGTTTTTTTTTTCCCAAAAACTGGCTATTCGGTGGGCATTCTATAATCAACTTAACATCTTTTGTTGTGGTGTTCAATGAGATGTGATAGAAGTGATTTGGACACCACTATGATTCCATATAGCACTCTATTATGTGCTTCCAAATTTTTTTTTCGTTTTAGCAGTCCTAATCTGTTTTCCATTCATATTTGCTATTCCATCACTGGGTATTCCTTCCTACTCTTTTCTTGTTTCGTTTGTTTTGATGAATGATGTGCATTTCCAATTCTGTAAAAGTTTAATTCAGTTTCATGTGTGGTAAAATGTAACATCAAATCCTTTGCAAGATGGAATTACCTTGTACAGCAGATTGAACATTGTATAATTGAAAATCTAGAGAGATGCCAGTGAGCCAAGGATCAAATGGCCTATTTGTAGCCAAGGCCACTTTCATGGCATCCTGGTCCTCTCTGTCACGTGGCTCTGTAGGATTCTCTGCGGTTTTCTTCAAATGTAAGTAGTTCTTGTTAAGGATCCTTGTAGTAAACTTTGAAATTCCTTTCTCTTTCATTTCTATAAAAAACAGGTATATTTTAATTTGGAGAACTCTGTTTAGGAATTACAATCAAGTAAGTAGCAGGGTGCCCAGCACTGGTGTAAAATACAGAACCTGTAAAACTCCCCTGGGCTGCTGCCCATTCACTTTCCCCAGGAGGAGACTCCATCCTGAACCTGTGATTATTGTACCTTTGTATTTCTTTAAAGATTTGTGCAATA